TTGTGACAAGAGTACCAAAACCATTCAATGAGGAAAGGACAGTCTTCTCAACAAACAGTGTTCAGAGACCTGGATACCCACACCCAAAAGAATGAAGCTAGACATTTATCTCACACCATATAAAAAATAAACTCAAAATATAAGAGTGAAAACCAGAAAGCTTTTAGAAGAAAAGATGGGGTGAAAGCTTCATGATACCGGAACTGACAATTACTTGGATATGACACCAAAAGCACAGGCAACAAAAGAAAAAACAGCTTGGACTACATCAAAATTTAAAACTTCTGTATATCAAAGGACACAACTTACAGAAAAGGCAGCCCCTGGGATAGTAGAAGATATTTGCAAATCATATAAAGGGTTACTATCTGAAAAATATAAAGAACTCCTAAAGTTCAACAATAACAAAACAAGCTGATTAAAAAATGGCCAAAGCACTTGACATTTTTGCAAAAAGGTGTATAAATGGCCAATAAACACATGAAAAGATGTTCAGCATCACTCATCACTAGGGAAATGTAAACCCAAACCCCAAGATCCCGCCTCACACCCATTAGAATGGCCGCTATGCAAAAACAAGCAAAAAAGCAAACAGGTGTTGGCAAGGATGTGCAGAAATTGGAACTCTGTGTACCACTGGTGGGAATGTAAAATGGTATAGACACTGTGAAAAACAGTATGGCGGTTCATCGAAAACTTAAAAATACAATTACCATATGATCTAGTAATCCACTTCTGGTTATATACCCAAAGGTATTAAAAACAAGTACACCCGTGTTCACTGCAGCATCATTCACAATAGCCAGAAGATGAAAACAACCCCAGTGTCAATCTACAGATGAATGGATACATAAAATGTGGTATATACGTACAATGGGACATTATTCAGGCTTAAAACGGAAGGAAATTCTGACACGCGCTGTAACGTGGATGGAACTTGAGGACAGTATACTAGGTGAAAAAATCCAATCACAAAGAGACAAATACTGTATGATTCCACTGAAATGAGGTACCTAGAATAACCAAATTCATAGAGGCAGAAAGGAGAAAGGTGCTTTCCAGGGCTTGGGGGTAGGCAGGAGGGCATAGGGGGTTGGTGCCTAGTGGGTCACGGAGTTTCAGTTTTATGAGATTGAAAAGAATTCTATCGATGGATGGTGGCGGTATCCTACAACAATGTGGATGTACTTAATGTCACTAACTGTACACTTACAATTGGTTAAGATGCTAACTTTTATATTATGTATATTTTACCACAACTTAAAAAAAAAAAAAAGAGAGAGCTTTGTCAGTCCAAGACTGGACTTGGCTCTTTTGTTTTTAATTTTTTTTTTACATTTTTATTTATTTTTGAGAGACAGAGTGTGAGTGGGGGAGGGCCAGAGAGAGAGGGAGACACAGGATCCAAAGCAGGCCCCAGGCTCTGAGCTGTCAGCACAGAGCCCGACATGGGGCTTGAACCCACGAACTGGGAGATCATGACCTGAGCTGAAGTTAGACACCCAACCAACTGAGCCACTCAGGCGCCCCTGGACTTGGCTCTTAAAGAACAAAGTAAGTGAGCATCTTTTTAAAAAATGTGAAACAAAACTATAAAACTTCGAGGGAAAAAAAATAACAGGACAGTAGTTTTGGCATTTGGCTAGGGAAAGAGTTATTAGACTCAACATCAAAAGCATGATCCTTAAAAGGAAAGTTTGAAAATTAATCCTCATCAAAGTACAGAACTTTTGATTTGCAAAAGCCCATATGAAGAGGATGGAAAGACATGCTACAGACTGGGAGAAAATATTTGCAACATCTAGACACACAAGGAAATCTCAAAACTCGACAGTAAAAAAAAAACAAAAAAACAAAAAAACCCCAACAATCCAACTGGAAAACAGGCAAAAGACCTAAACCGATATGTCATCAAAGATGATGTCAGATGGCAAATCATCTCCTGAAAAGATGTCCAATATAATTACTCATCAGGGAAATCTAAGTTAAAGCTACATCACTGCGCAGCTATCAGAGTAGCTAAAATAAAAAATAATGACACCACCAAAATGCTGAAGAGAAGGAGAAACCATATCCTTCATACATTGCTGGTGGGAACGTAAAGTGGCACAGCCTCATAGATAACACTTGGCAGTTTCTTGTAAAATTAAGCCTGCAACTATTATATAACCCAGCAATTGTCCTCTTGGGCATTTATCCCCAAGAAAGTAAAACTTATGTTCCTACAGAACCGATATGGGAATATTCATGCCAGCTGTATTAGTAATAGCAAAAAAATGAGAAACAGCACTGTTCTCCCTCAATGAATAAATGTAGTACATACAGGGGCATCTGGGTGGCTCAGTCCGTTAAGTGTCCAACTTTAGTTTGGGTCATGATCTTGCTGTTCGTGGGTTCGAGCCCCGTGTAGGGCTCTGAGTTGACAGCTCAGAGCCTGGAGCCTGCTTAGGATTTTGTGTCTCCCTCTTTTTCTTCCCCTACCCCACTCGTGCTCTCTCTCTCTCTCTCTCTCTTTCAAAAATAAATAAACATTAAAAACAATTTTTTTTAATGTAGTACATACAAACCATGGAATACTACTCAGCAACACAAAAGAGTGAAGTACTGATATACACAGTAACTTGGGTCAATTTCCAGAAGATTAGGCTGAGTGAAAAAAGTCAATCCCAAATGATTACATACCATATACATTAAGATAACATTTTGAAATGACAAAAATTTCTAAACAGAGAACAGATTGGTGGCTGCCAGTCATTAGGGACAGAGTGGGTGGTGGCGGGGGGGGGGGGTCTGTATATTTATAAAAGCACAAGAGAGGGAACCCTATGGTGGTGGAATGTTCTGTCTCCATTGTGATGGTGGATATGTGAACATACACATGTGATAAAATTCTGTAGAACCAAATATGCACACAAATGAGGACAAGTAAGGTTGGGGAAATCTGGATAAGAGCAGTGGGGTGTCATTTTCAATGCCCTGGTTGTCATATTGTACTAGTTTTGCAAACTAGTATCATTGGGGGAAACTAGGTAAAATGTACAAGTGTTTTCTCTATTATTTCTTAAAGCTGTGTATGAATCTGTAATTATCCCAATAAAAATTTCCACTAAGAAAAAGATCAAAGATTATCCAATATCTAAGGAAAGTCTCATGAGAAACAAATGAAAGGAAGGGAAATTGGAGGAAACAGAAAAAAAACAACAGGACGCAGAAAAAATTCAAACATTGCTAGTAATAATGTCCAAAAAATGCTTACATAATAAAGCGGCAAACACCACAAAAAAATTCCAGAGAAATTAAGAAGAACTTTTGGAAATTAAGAAGTATAATGGCAAAAATATAATACTTGATAGAAGAGTTGGAAAAGAAATTTGAGGAAATCTCAAATTTGAGGAACAAAAAAGATGAGGTAAGAGAATGAGACAAGCAGCCCAGAAGTCCAATATCTAAATAACAGGAGCTTAAGAACAGAGAAAAACTTGGAGAGAAAATGGTTTAAAGCCATAATTCAGGAAAGTTTCCCAGACTGACAGAGCTCACCGAGTACCCAGCTCAGTGGGTGAGAAAAATTCACACCAAGTACATCATCGGCTTGAAGGTTCACAAGGCTGGAGGTGAAGCAAAGGGCCTGAAGGCTTCAGAGAGGGAAGAAGCACAGCACACATGTAGCATTGGGAGTCAAAACGGGATGGGGAAACACTGGCATCTAAAATTCTGAGGGCAAATGGATTCCCACCCAGAGTTGTTACCCAGGCAAACTCATCCCTACATAAGACTAGAATAAAAATTGTCAAGACCTTCAGAATTTCATTCCCTGAAGTGGTTCTGAAGAGAAGCTACATTTTAGGGTTAGGAAAAAAGTGGTCCACGAAGTCATAAACCTTCTAGAAGTTAGTTTTCTGTAGGAAACTTCAAGGGACACGGTCTCAGCAAAGTGTGACAGGGAACAGAGGCCTGGGGATGTTGTTAAGCAGTAAGTGTCCTTATGGGAGATGGCTTCGCTTTTGTGCACACCAGGTTGTCTGCCACACTGGCCACTTGTTATAACGAGGATGGAGCTTCGTGAAGACGGTCACTAGCTCCACTGCCTCCTGTGTTACTAGGTCTGGGGAGGACCGATCACTTTGGGCCTGGCCACAGGTCTCCACGTGCCCAGGAGCCTGTCTGCAGGAAGCCCCCTGTGGATGTGCTTCACCAAATCAAGGAAGCAAATCCAGATAAAGGAAGACACAGGATTCAGGAAAATGGGAGATCTGTGTAGGAAGTAGCAGAGGGAATCCTCAGAAGGGTGGGAGATCCCACCATGACAGCTGGGGGAAATCAACCAGCCCAGATTCGAGCGAGCGAGGATTCTGGAAACACAGTGCCAAGAGGAAATTGATGGGTGTGCACATATCAGGAGAGTTGCATTTATGGCAGACTTTGGGTACACAGAAGTGATAAATGCCTAGAAACTGAAATAACATATTAAAAAGTGACAAAAGTAAGAAGTTGTACAAGAAAGGAAATGGAATCATATTCTATGATGTGACTTTGTTGAGGTCGTAATAGTCATAATAATATATACACTGAATGTTAATCTCACCCAAAATAATAATACAACTATACATGGAGAAAGGGGAAGAGAAGCCGTGTGTAGTGTGTGTGTGTGTGTGTGTGTGTGTTGGGAGTGTTAAAGAAATCAATAAATGATGCCTAACGCTGCGGAGGCGTGATTTTCATAGGCATGAGGGTAAACACCAAAAATACCAATTGAATTGGAAATGGTTGCCCATCGGGAGTTGGAAAGGAAGAGATACAGGCAACTGCAAGCCTTGCTTTTTTGTTTTTGTTTTTTTTCTTAAAGGGCCTTCCAGAAATATTTGGCTTTTTAAACGTCCAGAAAAATTTTAATTGTAAAATTTTAATTGAAAATTTTTAATTTTAATTCTGTAAAAAAGGGATTCTACAGAAAACAATGCTGTGTGGTGTTGGGCTGGTGCTCACAGCACACACTGGTCTCACCCAGTGCCCAGGAGCAGCTGATGCTGTGGAGTGGTGACATTGTCTAGGGAAGAATCAATTATGGAGCCAGCACAGAGATTTGCCTTGCCAGGCTGGGGCTTTCCTGTAGGATTCAGTGTCCACTCCAGACCTGTGCCCAGTGTGTATGCGTGGGCCGTGGTTTCTCTCAGGATGGCTGGGTCCCGGGACCAGGAATCGGGGTGGGAGAGGGACCCTTTGTGGCCACCCAGCGTGTTTGGACAGCCGTTTTCTGATTGTGAGTCCTACCTGCCTGAAGTACCAGACATGCTCACCTTCCCAGCCTCCCTTGCAACTAGGGTATAAATACTCCTGCACTCCAGGACGCGATGTGTTAATGAGCAGTTTGGTCCCAAAGAGCAAAACTGGGGAAGAATGAGTGCTCCAGAGATGCCAGCCATGGTGCCCTCCGCCACCCAACGTCCTCCTCCTAGCCCAGCGTGACTCATGCCTGAGCAGCTCTGGACAGAATGTGAAGTTGGAAATGGTATGAGAATGAGGGGGGTGGCGGTGGGGCTGAAGGAAGAGATGTGCAGAGAGGCATCAGGCACACAGATGGGGAACAAGAGGGGGTGGAGAGCAGAACCAGAGAGACAGAATACCAAGAGAGCAGGGGAGCAGCCAGGCCCTCATTTTCAGCGCGACCTCATCAGCAAGCCTCATTTTCACGGCGACCTAAGTGAGCCTGTTCCTTTTGCTCAAAGAAGGAGGGCTGTGCGGAAAGGTACCGGCCCCCAAATTCTGGGACCTGCTCTTTGGACCTGCCCTCGAAGGGGAGGTGCATAAGAACAGGAAACCCACGTCCTGGGACAGGTTTCACCACCAGCTCCCCCACGCCCATCTCCAGCCTCTGCCTGTCAGAACCTGCACCTCCTCTCTGGTTCGTGAATTCACCCAGCTGCTCAGGGTCAGACCCCTCCTCCCGTATCCTGAGCCGGTTGCCACAAACACAGGGGCCTTGTTCACCGTGTAGCCCCAGGGCCTAGAGTTCCACCTGGCGCAGAGCCAGGGCTCTGTATATTACCTGTGCAATGATATTAATAATTCTTAGAGGTCTGTATATTACCTGTGCAATGATATTAATAATTCTTAGAGGTCCCCAGAGAAAGCCATCTGCTCCCTCCTTGGAGGCCACTAGCCATCTTCCTCGTGCCCACGTCAGCATCTCTGACAGCTGGCTCCTTCAAACCACCCTTGCCTGCCAAGTGTTGCGCACATGAGCCGGAGTTGTCCCTGCTGTCCTGGGGCTCACGCAGAACCATACCGTAGGGGGCCTGGCCTCCTGTGGGCACTCCTTTGGGAGCCTCGGCATCAGTTACCCCGAGACCTCTCCTCTCTCCATCCCCTTCTGCATCCAGCTCAAGACCAAACACCAGTTTGGGGGCACATCTCTGCTCTTGCCTCAGCTCCTGACTCTGGGTGTTCGTAAAGCCCAGCCCGCCCTTAAGGGAGAGACACAGGGTCTGCAGCTGCTCCAGGGTACAGCTATCCATGCGGTCTGCGGCTGAGCGGCCAGGCTCTGTGCTGCCCTTGCTCTGGTCTAGGTCTTTCCAGCCAGTAGTCAGGGCGGGGAACATGTAAAGAAGAGGCTGGGCCAAGGGACAGTTGTACTGACTTTATTCCCCTTCACTCTTGTCCTCACCCTCCTGCTATCCCCCACGCACTTGGGCCCTAGACACCAAGGGTCCACACACACACCTGACACAGCTACCTCTGGGCCCCCAATGAGGAGTGCGGTGGCAGCACCTGCCAAGTTCAGAGGCTGAGGCTCTAACTCCAGCCTGTGGTCAGGGGGCTTGAGGCCCACCTCATCTCTCTGCTCACCTCCAGCTGGCCCAAGACCAGGGAGCCCAGGGGGAGCTGGGGAGGGGGCAGGCCCAGGTTCCAGACCCAAGTTCTGGACAAATGGGCTGAGAAGTCCATCTGGACTGAGGGGGGGCACCCCCCCCACCCCCTCCACCCTGTACATCTCTAGTGGGATGTGATGATCCCCTGCCCCCTTCCCCACAGGCCCTGGGAAGTGGGTATGGCGCCCCAGTCCCCTTACTCCAATATCCAGGTGCTTGTTAATGTCTTAAAAATAAAAAGGAAAAGGAAAAGCTGGTAAAACAAGAACCCCTACCCATACTGGCCCTGCTGAGGTTCCATTATTGCTTCAGACCCTTGTGATCTGGCTGGAAAGGAGCTCCCACCCACACTGGCCTGAGGGGAAGAGAGCATTTAGCACCAGGGACCAGGACTCCTGACCCCACTGGGACAGGGGCCTCCCAAGAGAGGGCTTGGCCATGCCCACCCACAGCTACAAGGACCATTTTGACCAGAGCCCAGGCTGCCTGCTATCTGGATCCCCACCCTCAGAGGAGAGGTGTATGAGAACAGGAAACCCAAATCTTGGGACAGGGTTTCAACACCAGCTCCCCCCACAACAGCCATCTCCAGCCTCTGCTTATCAAAGTGTGGCCTCACGGGGACCTGATCTGGCCAGCCCCCCGCATCCCCCCCGCCCTCTCCCCACCCGGCTCACTCACTAAAGCTGTAGTGGGGCTAGCTGGTGACAAGACCACCAGTCCCCATGGGAGACCCTGGTGTCAGCGACGGGGGGTTGGGGGAACCCAAAGGGGTCCCGACCTACAGCACATTGGGGGAGATCAACTTTTTCGGGGAAAACATGAGCCAGCTCTGAAGAGCTGCCAGGCACTGGGTCCAGAGGTTAGAAATAGCAAGGAAGAGGAGGAAACGGGGGGGGGGGGGACCCTGAGGACGTCATGGAAGCCCAGAGATCAAGGGGTGGAGGAGAGGGAGCTATCATAAAGCAGGAACCTGGAACCCTCAGCCTTGGGGTAAGGGAGCTACACGATTGGGAGCCTGACAGGGAGCCTTCCTCCCTCAGTGAGGGGCCCGCCTTCTCTCTCCAGAGGACAGCAGGGGTGTCTGAGGGCATGTCTGTAGGCTCTGGCTTGCACTACTGCCACGGCCCCAAATGCAACTAGGCCAGGGCACTGCCCGCTCTGTGCCCAGAGAACAATCAGGGCTGTGTAGCTTGGATTACGAATCCTCAAATCACTCGGGCTTCTTGGAGCTGCCCACATCTGTACAGAATAAAGTGCTTCGTTTATTGATGATTAAAATGTCCCCAGCCCCCACCCCAGCGCCATGGGCCTCACAAGGAGGTCAGAGGGGTTCCAACCCCCTCAGCCCTTGGGCTGATGGGGCCCACTCCCCCCCTGCCCCCTGCCCCTGTCCCCCTTTGGGCTTACCCACTCCAGCCATGCTTGGGAAGGTGGTGGTGTGGGGGTAGTCGTGGGGGTTTAAGGTGCAGAGTATAACAAACAAAACCGTATAAACACAAAGGGAAAGAGCTTAACTAGGAAACATGTAGCTTATGGAACCTTCCTCCCCATTTTAAAGGCAGGAATAAAGACGTTAAATGACAACAAAAAAGGGTGTCCTATTAGTGCCAGCCTCGTGGGGGCAAGCATTGGGCACAGGCTGGGGCTCCCCCAGAACTCCTGCCCCCACCCTGGGGCCTGAATGTGCAGGTTCCTCTCGCCCACAGTGCTACAGGTGCCCTGCCCACACCGCAGAGGCCCAGGAGGGACAGGGATGCCGGGTTGTGGCCAGACCTAGGAAGATGAGGCCTCTGCCTTCAGAGCAGGGATGGGGACAGACACACACACATCTCTGGTGTGGGAGAGACGACCAGGGCAGCTGGTGAGGGACGGGGTGCTCTGTGAACAGCAGCCCTGCCCCCTGCCCCACTGATAGCACCTTGAAACCTTAAAACATTTTGTCTATGCCTCCTTCTCAGGGCCCTGCCCCTGGTGTTCACCCATTTGCAGGGACTTCGACTGCAGCCCTTGGGATCTGGCACTGCGGGAGCCAGCCCGTCTGCCCACCCAGGGCCCAGCCCCCAGCCCCCTGAGGCCCAGCGGCTTCTGGGGATGTCCTCTCCTGGACTCAGGGACCTCAATGCAGCCTGGTACAGCTCAGGGTCCCTGTGCCTGCTGCCAGGGTGGTGGGCGGGAGAGCAAATGCCTGGGGTCCAGCCCCTGCCTACCCCCACTGCACACGGTGCAAAGCTGGGTCTGCAGCCTTCACACTCCGCCACTCCCTCCACAACACGCTCACAGGCATCCAGACTCAAGCTCTGTGCCTCAGTGTCCACAGCCCTCAGACTGGGTCCACGACTCCTTCCGGGGGTGGGGGGTGGCTGGCACTCCAACTCTTCCCCAGACTCCCCAGGATGAGGGGGCAAGTTAGGGTGCACAAGGGCGGCAGAGATGAGCCACCGAAGCTGACCCAGGCTTGGCTTGGCCAACCCCCCTCCGGCTTAGGCATCAGCAGAGTGACCCATCACACCTGCTCCCCAGCCCCTCCCTCCCTGCTGTACCTGCTGCTCCAGCACCCCCCTCACCTGGAGGGCGGTGCTGGAAATAGTTTCCTCTCTTTTCTTTTTCCTTCACTTCCAAGAAAAAAAAAGTAAAGGCTTCAAGGAGTCACTGAAGTGGGGGGGGGCCCTTGGGAGTGAGGTGTCCTTCCCCCACGCTGGGGCCACCAGCCTGCAACACTCCCAGGGCCAGGGGCCTTGAGCAGCATGTGTCCGGCCGCCTCTGGAGGTGAGGGCGGCAGTGCCAGGCCAGTGCTGCTGCCCTCCCACAGGAAAGACGAGAGGGCGGGGTGGGGGGGTCCCTCCCAGAGGCGCCCCCCGGGCTCCAGGCCCCGCGCACGCGCGGTTCGGCAGTCAGTTGTTGGCGCTCATCCTCCCGCCGGAGTTGGCAGTGGTGGGGAAGATGGCTATGGGGCTTATAGGTAATGGGGTTTACAGGGTCTGGGCAAGTCTCCCGATAGGGCAGTGAGCCTGAGGTCAAGGGGACAGTCTGAAGCAGAGCAACAGCCACAATACTGGAGCAAGTGACTGATCTTGTACCTCCTTGTGGGCCTTTGAAAGCAGTGGGAGAAGGAAGCGCTTGTCCGCAAGAGACACGGTGAGAGGGGTAAGGCTTCTCGCCGGTGTGCGTGCGCCGGTGCCGCTTCATGTTGGGTCGGCTGGTGAAGCTCTTGCCGCAGATCTCGCAGATGTATGGCTTCTCCCCCAGGCATTGGCGACGGCACCGGAGTCACTGAGGAGTCCCCAGACCCCAGCTCTGCATCAGCCTCCCCACGCCCAGAGAACCATAGCGGGGCCCAGCCCCGGCATCCGCGGGGCCTCCCTACCCGGGGAGGCAGGGAGGACGGCACCGAGCCTCATAGAGAAGGGCAAACTGAGGCCCAGAGTTGAGAAAAGGGGCATGGCTGGGGCCACCCCAGGCCTCCGGAGCAGGACTGCGAAGGGGTCCCTCCCTGGGGGCCGCCATACCTGTATGGGTCTTCATGTGCTCGTCGAAGTACTGCTTCATGTTGAAGTCCTTGCCACACCACTGGCACATGAACTGCTTAGGTCATGTGGATAAGGCAGACCGCGAGCTGGTACTTGTACTGGAAGCGCTCATTGCAGTTCTGAGGGTGGGGGGGAGGGTGAGGCCCAGGGGCAGAGGAGGGAGCAGCCTTCAGGAAGGGAAGCACCTGCCTGTGACCGCAGGGCCCAGGGAGGACACACACACCGGGAGGGGGTCCTGGGGTGGGGCAGCACACGGGCAGAAGAGAGGCCAAGGGCAGGCAGGGCCCAGGCGGGAATGGAGGTCAAGAAGTGGAAAAAGGCCAAAGAATGGAGGGAGTCCTCATGCTTAAAGCTGAGCTCCCCCCGCCCGCCCCTCCGTCCTTCCTCCTTGTTGGAAGACCTGCCCCCCTCATCCCCGTCCACAGCCCTGTCTCTGCTCTGAGATGTTCCTCTCTCCACCTCTCCAGAAAGCCCACCCCATGTACCGTTCCAGCCCAAGGAGACTGCCCACCCTGAATGCGTGGGGGTTGCATTGGAGCTGGGGTGGCAGAGGGTGGGGACGGGGGGGGGGGGCAGGCAGGTGGGCATCCAGGTAAAGATGGAGTGGGAGGCAGGGGCCGCGGACACCAGGGTGGGCCCCCCCTCTTTCTGAATCCCGGACTCCACTCCCCACAACTCCCAGGTTTTTAGGCAGCTGCCGCTCCTGCTGTCTGTCCAGGTGGCCCCCAGGGCAGGCAGAGGAAGGAGCTCACCTCGCATCTGAAGGGTTTCTCCCCAGAGTGCTGCAGTGAGTGCACTTTGAGAGACATGCTTCGTTTGAAGGACTTCCCGCAGGTCTCACAGGTGAAGGGCATGTCCTTGGTGTGGGCTGTGGGGCAGGCCATTATGTCTCAGGGGGATGGACCCCCATGGCTCCTCCCAGGGGCTCGCTGCCTGACCACCTCCCACAAAGGGCCTCCCGGGAGGCCCACCTACTTTAAGGTCTGCTTCAGAGCCTCGGTCCAGGATCTGGGGCTGACTTCAGGGTGAGGGCTCTTCCCTCTGGGCTATGTCTGTCTGTCTGCTCTCAAGTCTGGTCAGACTAGCATGGAGGCCCTCACGTTCTTCAGCCTCTGGCCAAGGCTGCTTCACTCCCAAAACTTCGGGGAGAGACTGAAGGACTCCCAAGTAGGACTGGCCTCGGCTCAAACCCTGGCCCGCCACTGGCTCCCTGCACAGCCTCTGTGGGCCTCAAGCATGCCCTTCTATAAAGACAGGCTAGGAGTGGTACTGAACCTCAAAGGTGGGCCTTACAGGGGTGACACTGAGCAGTCCAGAGGGAGTTAGCTGTGCTCCCCTAAAACCCTGGAGAGGTGAGGACTTAACAAACTGTTCAAGGAAGATCTGGGGGGAAATAACTGGAGCCAGAGCTCAGAGCTGGGAAACTCGAGCCCAGGAAGACTACCAGTTCTGGGTTGCTCCGCATGCTCCTGGCTGAGACCTCGAGCCTGGGGCCCCAGCTCCCAGGTGGCTGGAGAAAGGGGGGGAGGGCCTGGCTAGGGCCATATCTCCCTTGAGCCCCAGGCCCCAACTGGGCAAAGAAAGGAGGGGCACCTGGACACCAGACTTCCAGCCAGGCCCACAGAGGGGAGGGACGGCCATGCCCGAGGCAGAGTAACCCAACACACACTTGGGGGGGCCTCCTTACTGTGTCGCATTATCATGGGTTGCGTTCAGAGAAGCCCGAGGCCCTGTGAGGGCCAGAAAGAAGGTGATAAAAAAATGAGAGGCACACCTGTCCTGAAACTGAGGGCCTATGTCTGCCCATACGTCACTTTGCGTGATTTAGGAAAAGGCGCTCCTTTCCCTGGTGGCCACTGCCCCATGCTGTGGCACATAGTCCGGTTAGCAGTGTGCCAGCTGGATTCTGGTCCCCATCTGCCATCTTGTCCAGGAACCCTTGTGCAATGTGCAACCTGCCCAACTATACATGGTAGTCCTGACCTCTGCAGTCCTGTCCAGGCCACGCTTGCCACTGCAAGCAGCCTCCCCAGGCTTCACAGCTGAGAGGGGCCTTTTCACGCTTTCACACCGCCCTTGGATGGGAAGTCCTTCCCAGCACAGCCAGCAGCTGGCCGAGCTCTGACCTTGGGCCCCATCCTCTCCTGGCCTACTCACCAACCATGTGCTTGCGCACGTGGGCCATGGTGTAGAACTTCTTCTCGCAGATCTCACAGGAGAACTTCTTCTCCGCATAGCCATGCACGATCTTGTTGTGCTCGTGGAGGGACCAGAGCTTCTTAAAAGCTTTACCACAGGTCACACACTGTGGGGTAAGAGGACTTTAGGCCCCAGGTCCTGAGTCAGGACCGTGTGTGACCTGGGACAAGCTGCCCCTCTCTGGACCTCCGTTTCTTCACCTCACCTGTGCTGGCGAGAGAGCCCCGGGTGTCCAGCGACCAGCCAAATCGGATGTTCTGGGAGTTGGGGATGGTAATCCACCCACCCAGGGCTGCAGCCTGGGGCCCTCCCCCATCCTTGAACCGAACTAGGGTCAGGGCCCACCTACACGAGGAAGCCCCTCCTCGGTGCTCATTTTAACAAAGCATCTCTCTACTGAGGGGCCATGGTAACAGGTCTGGCGGAGCTGGGGCACTATCTTTGCTGCCTCCCCCTGGGGGGACCCAAGCCCTGACCCTGTGGATCCTCGAGGAGATAGGTGCCAAAGGGCCAGGTGGGGGAGACTGTGGGAGGTACCAGGCCCCACGAGGGAACGGAGGGTGGTGGGAACCTTGGGGGCCCCCCTCCTCCTCCTGTCTTACACATCCCTGCAGGACACTCTTCCAGAGGGCTGGAGTAGGTCAGGCTTGGGCAGAAATGGGTCAGGGCGCCCAGCTCAGAAGAGGCACATGCGTCTTTCCCCTTCAGGAGGAAGGCTCAGGTGTGTGCAGGTGGAGAGTCAAAGGGCTGCCCAGCAGGCAGGCACGTGGGAACAGGTGCAGGAGGGTGGGGCAGGAGACCAGGTAACCCCCGGGTAACACTTTCTCCACGGGGCCATGCAATTAGCAATTAGCTCAGGCAATTAGCGCCGGCCTACCTGCTGCCCCATCAATCCCCTCCCAGGTCAGAACAAGCCAAAAGCAGCCAGGCTGGCCCTGTGCTGCCCACACCCTGAGCGGCCAGGCTGGCACACAGGCTGACCCGGGGCCTGGCCACCAGCCCAGCTCCCCTGCTTGGCCCCAGCAGCCCCTGCTCTTCCCAAATTTCTCATCCAATCCCTCTTTCCAGGCCCAGGCCAGCTGGCATCTCCAAAGCGCTGACAGCAAGCAGGGGCTTTCTCCTGCTCGGTCACCCCTTGCTCCATTCAGCCTTTGTGGCAAGTGGAAATGGCGCCCTCTCTGGGCAAACCCTGCACCGCTTTGTCTGTGAAACTATAAATGGTGGTGGACCTGTTGGCCCTCTAGCAGCCCTAGGATTTACTAAAACACGGACTCATCCCTCCTGGCAGCTGGCTATCTGCCAGTCTCAAGTACTCAGACAACTCCCTCCTCTCATCCTCCAAAGCCCATGCTCCCCTTCGCCCCTCTGGCCAAGGGTACTGTTTGTTTCAGTCCTATTTGCACGTGTCTCCACAGGACAAGCCCGGTTCCGCCCGCCTCCTCCAGGAAGGCACTGGCATTATCCCCACCACCCTGGGCCTGGGCCAGCTCCAGGGGCCAGGGGTAAGTCTGGCTTCCCCAGCCTGTCTGTCTGGGCAACGCAGGCAGCACGACGCGGGGTGCCTGGCCTCAGTGGCCGTGTGGCGTCAGCGGGCCTGCTGCCCAGCCCTGCCCCCCCCCCCCCCAACGGAGCCGGCGGGGCCCACCTGGATGTTGCGCTCGCAGTCTGTCTGCCGGTGCAGCAGCAGCTCGCTCTCCAGCAGGAAGCGCTTGCCGCACTGGTCGCAGATCTGCATGCGGCTGTGGGTCACGTTCATGTGCTTCTCCAGGTACCAGCGGTTGTTGAAGACGCGAGGGCACTTCTGGCATGGGTGGTGCTGCTTCTCTTCCAGCTTCACCTTGGCCCCCAGCCCGTCAGTGGCCTGTGGCCCTCGGGCCGGCGCAGAGGCTCCCGGCGCGGGCTTGGGCCTCTTCCCACCCCGTGGCCTGGTCTCCTCAGGCTCAGGGGGGCCCCGGCGCCGGGCGTTCTCTCGGGACCGAGTGGCCATGCGACCGTGGGGAGGGGGCTCTGCCCTGCTGCCCCGACGCCCCGCCGGCCCCTGCCTGCCCCCTGCCTCCCCCTCCTCCTCCTCCTCCTCTGAGCTCTCTTGATCCTGTTCACTGTGCCCTTCCTCTTCTTCCTCCTCTTCCTCCTCCTGCTCGCTGTGCCCTTCCTCCTCATCTTCCTCCTCTCCCTGACTGCCACCCTCCTCTTCCTCTTCCTCCTCCTCCTCCTCCTCCCCTCCACTGCCACCACCCTCCTCTTCCTCTTCTTCCTCCTCCTCCTCCTCCTCCTCCTCTTCCTCCTCCTCCTCCTCCGAGTGTCTCTGCAGCCCGTCTTCCCGCCCCAGCACCATGGTGGCCGGGCCCGGGGTGGTGCCCGGCTTCCCCTCGGGCCCCGTGGACACGTGCAGAGTCTGGTTGTTGAGGTTCACCTCCACGATGATCTGGGACTGCTCCCGGCGGCTATAGGTGCCAGAACCCCCTAGCTCTTCCTCCAGCCCCTCCCCGCCCTCCAGCTTGCACAGGCTGCCAGGGGGCCCACCGGCCTCTTCGACACCACCCTCCTTCTCCTCCTTGAAGAAGGGCTGGGCTGGCCCAATGGCAGCAGGCACCGTGCCACCTGCGGCCCCTGCCCCGTCCTCGACACGCACAGAGTAGGGGTCAGGGCCCTCGCGGGCATAGATCTTGGGCAGACCTGGGGCGTCTGCCTCCTGCTTGATGTCACAGTAGTAGGGTGGTGCGGCCGGGGCGCAGCCAGTGGCCGGCTGGGCCAGGGCCACAGCGCTGGGGCCCGGGGGGCCTAGGGAGCGGGCATCCAGCAGCTCCTGGCAGGACGCGGCGATGTCAGCCATCTGCAGCAATGAGGCGGCGCTGAGCACCTCGTGGACGTTGGCCGCGTTGACCAGCAGCTTGGATGTATAGATGAAGTTGAGGATCTGCTGCAGGCCGCCGGGCGCCAGCGCCTCCAGGGACAGCTCCACGCGCTGCAGCTGCTTGTTCTGGGTGAAGAGGGAGTGGAAGAACTGGCTGTAGGCAGCCAGCACGCCCTTGTGTGCCGGGAAGACGCTGCGCTGGGGCACCAGCACCAGGTCCACGTCGCAGAGGTCAGGCTGGAAGAGGCGCTGCTCATTCAGGCGGCCCATCAAGCAGGCGAAGTGCAATGCCACGTCCTCCACCAGCGAGAACTCGGCCGCCGGTGAGTCTGTCGTCTTCTCAACCAGCAACTGCGGGGCACAGGGCACAGGTCAGGTCAAGGCCAGCAACCCGGGCAGCACCCACCACCGGGGAGGCAGCCTGCCCATCACTCCTGGCTCCACATTAGGGAGAAAGAGCTGAGGCTCAAGCAAGGATTGCGGGGCAGGGCTGGTGGGGGTGGGGGGCAGGACCAGGACTCAAGCCCCGAGCCAGCTGCCCCTTAGAGCTCAGACTCCAATCATGACTTGGCTCCTGGGTTAGTAGGTTAGCTTTTCTGGGCCCCCGGTTCTTCCCTGCAAAACAGGAAGTCATCCTGGACAGGGAAGGGGAAGAGAAGGAAAGAGGAAGTAACAGGGACTAGGGTGACCAACTGTCCAGGAGTGCCTGGGACCTAGCGGTTTCCTGGGACGTGGGGGTTTTCTGTGCTAAAACCAGGGCCGATCTGGGCAAACTGGGGCGAGGTGGTCACCTCAGACACAAGCATTGCTTCAGCATTTCCTGAGCTCCGTGGATTCTCTCCCTCATACTCACTCACATGTAGAAATAAAACCATGCCTGCCCAAGCCCAGACACCTCAAGAACGAAAGTCAGGCTCATTAGCTCACCGCTCAGCCTCTGGCTGCTACTGCACCCTGGGGGTAGCACCTCAGAAACCCCTCACCTCACCAGCGGAAGGCCTCAGGGTCTGGGCCTGAGGCCTTGCAGAGGTGGAAATTCTTGTGAAGAAATCCAGGCCCAGAGCCTGGTCCCACTGTTCTGCTGGAGGAGGCTGGTGGGATCCAGCCAGCCCCTTCTTAACGGGACCAGTCTGCTGCCCATGGCCTCAGGCCTGGCTGCCAGCAGCTCCCCCTCACACAGGGGTTCTGTGGGGGTAGGAGGACAGAGCTGCGTTACCTGTCCACTGTGCTTAGAGACAGGAGCCCCCCAGGGCTTGTCCTAGACCCTCCTCCCTCTAGGCCCCCAGACCCCAGGTCAGGTACCGTCCAGGCCCGGAGGCTCTAAGATGGCCCCATCTTGGAAGTCACACTACTTTGAAGCCTCAGAGAGGCCCTCAAAGTCTGAAGGGTCAGATTATCAGGTCCTTGGGCCACATCCGGCACCTGTGAATTGTCCAGAATAAGGGCTGGCTTAATCATCCCTGGCTCCACCACAGCAGCTTCCCCAAAAGGTAGACAGCACACAGGCAGGCTGCCCAGTCCCGTGCATGGGTCCAGTGCACAGATGTTCAGTTAATATCTGCCGACCACCTGCCTGGCCGGACCAACTCCACAGGTTCCAGTTCGGGGCCCTCCTCAGGCCCCGTTTAGCTGGGTCAGAGCCGCCTGTATTTGAGGGTTACCTTGCCCCACTGCCGACAAGCCATCAGCTCCTCTCCCCCAATCACCTCCCTGAAAGCCCTGGGATGAAACCTTGGTTCCGTCTATCCAGAGCCTGCCCCAACGCCCCAGGACAGTCCTTCCATTGATAGGGCAGCAGTGGGTGGGCCCAGTCTGGGCTCAGGGGTGGTATCTATGTTCACCTATGAGAATCTGCCCCAGGCGTCAGGATGAACCTCAAGGAGCCACAGGGGCAACCTGCTTCCAGCTCTGCCCTGAGCCCCACCCTGCATATCCAGGGCAGCATCCACCCCATGCTCTCTCAGATCCCAGTCTGGCCAGACTCTTGACCACGGAGACCATCTTCCTCAAGTTCTCCCACGCCTCCTGCCTCCCAGCCAAGAAGCCAACCATCTGCCCCTCTGTCTCAGGACTGCTAGCCTGTCCAGGCCTGGCCAATCTAACAGGGAGATGGTGCCAAGTCCCTCCCATCTCCCTCCTCTGACTCATCCTGATTCATCTTCTGGGACCAAACCCTACCGCACGGATGGGGAAACCGAGGCTCAGAATGGAAGGATCCCACAAGTGAACAACAGCAGAGCCCCAGGACTTCCAGCTCCTTGCTGAGGCCACCCCTTCCCTGCTGGACTGGACGCCACTCCATGTGGATGGATTTCTTGGCTTGCAATGACTTAAAGAGCAGTAAGAGGCTTCTGGGGAACCTCAGACTCAGGGGACCAGCTGTGCTTCCCTAGACCCCACCACTACCCTCTGCAACCTGTGGCCTCCTCCCCAGAGCTGCTACCACTTGCAGGTCAGTGAGGGGTCAGGATGCAACTTGGGTTGTAAGAGGGCCCCTAAGGGCCACCAGGGGCCAGACAGTGGCAGAAGTGGCTTGGATAAGGGCTTGTTAAAGCCAGGCCTGTTGAGGGGAGCACATCCTAGGCCACAAGGGCCCCAGTACACTCTGCATCCCCCTTCCCAGAATGCCCTCTGGTGCCTACCTGGCATTGGGAAAAAGGGCAGTGCCCGACCTTCCCATGTACAGACCTGGTCCCAGGGCCCTCTGGCCTCAGCAGGAAAGGAGGGGCTAGCCTGGAGGGTATTGGTGCCCCTAAAGACGCTATTCCCACGGCAGTACCCCCCCTCCCAAGCCAGTACCACCCTGCACCCTTGAGGGGCCCGAGAATCTCACAGTCAGGAACCTTGGCTGGACTTAATTGGCAGGGCACACCCAACCAGCCTGAGTCCATAACCCGTCAACTACCTCGGCAGGGCTCGGCCACCCCCTTGCCTGGCACCTCCCATGCAAGGCCCACAAGCTGCGCCTGCCTCCCCAGCCAGATGTGCCAGTTCCCTGAAACTGCAGACATCCCTCCCCACTGGCTGTGCCAGCTGCAGCCAGGTGCACTCCATCCTCAAGTCCAGACCAGGCCAGCCTATTTAAGACACAAGACCAGGGAAGTGGTCAGGCACTCCTGTTGCCCTCAAACTCTCCCAGCAAGCCAGGCTGGGGATTGGGGGGGCGGTGGGAAGGAGCCCAGGTGCCAGGGACACCTGCCGAGATTGCTCACCAGGGCCAGAGCCTTCTGCATCTGAGGGATACCTCTCTCTAGGGATGCCCAGCATGAAGCTCGCTTTGCCTTTGTCCTGACCTCCATGGAGGCCCCCTGATGAAAAACCCTGGGCTTGCATCACCCCCCTCCACACATTGGACCCTAAACTTCTAATGCACAATCTTTATTGTCAACCAGGTGGGCCCAGACTGAGCAAGGGGGCACAGGTTCATGACTTCCAGGCTCCTCTTTTTGAGAGATATGTGTTCAGGTCAGTCTCCTTCAAGGCTCATGGCCCCACTCCTTTCCCAGGAAACAGGCCCAGAGAGGGCAGAGGACTGGCCCAAGGTCACACAGTAGTCTGGACCGGAGCTGCGGACGTCCCGCCCCAACACACCCGGCTTGGCCCAGTCGCCCCAAATCCCCAAACAGGGCGGCTCCAGCGCCCACGTGGCCCAAGGCCCAGGCGGGAATCCGACCTCCCCCTCCCCCCCCATCACCCAGTCGAGGGCATGGCGTCCTGCGGCTCGGAGTAGCGCCCCCCTCCCGCCCGCGCCTAGCAAGATTCAGCCTTTCGCGCCTGGGCCCCCACCCCAGGAATTTAACCCCCTCCCCGCCGAGAGCCGCGCCGTAGCGCCGCATTCCCGGCCCGCGGGGACCCGGGAGAAGGGGTCGGGGAGACCGGCGAGGGGGAAGACCCCTCCAGCAACTCCACCCTGAGCTGGCGGGCCGTGCGCTCGGGAGGGCAGAGCGGGCAGGTGGGCGGATAAGCGGGGGGACAGGCAGGGCCTTGCGTACCATGGTGCCGTGGCGCTGGGGGCTCACAGGGCCCCGCGGGATCGCGCTGCCCCCGGCGGCCGGGCCGGGGCCGCTCCATGAAGCGCCGCGCTGGGGGCCGCCCCCGCGCAGGGCCCCGCGACCATGGCCCCCGGGGGCGCGGCCGGGCGGGCGGAGGCGCAGGGCCGCGGCGAGTCCAGCAGCCGAGCAGCTGCGGCCCCAGAGCCTCGGGCGCGGCGGGCGGGGGGCGCGGGGCGCCGATTGGAGCCCGCGCGTCAGCTGGGGCCGTCGTCTGGACGCTTAAAGGGCCAGGCCGCCCTGCGTGCCGGCGGGGGGCGCGGACACGCGTGGTGTGCGCGGTCCCGGTGCAGCCTGCTCTGCCTCGGGCCGCAGGGGACCCCAGCCGGGTCCCACTGCTCCCATCCTAGCGGATGGGCCCCGGCCTCACTCTCTCGCGCCGAGCCCCCTTCTTGCCGGGAAGTTCGTCCGAGAGTCTAATCTCGGTGCCTTCCAGCTGCGCCACAGAGGCGGGGTCGGAGTAGGAGGCGGCCCTGAAATGGGGAAGCTGGGCGCGCCCACTCCCCAACCAGCTGCAGAAATGCTTCCACCTGCTCCCCTGAGCGACCCCAGCTGAGAGACCGAACCCCCGTACCCCAGCCGCGCTCACCACCCCCACCCTCTGGCCTGAGCTGCTTTGAACTGAGGGTGAGTCTAGGATCTCCAGCTAGCCCTGCCCCCCACAGCCCCCTTCCCCAGGGCATCCCAGAGCTCTTTTTACTCTGTGCTGGTTGGCCCATACCTACCTGGTGGCCTCCTCTGGATTTCCACAGGGCGGGGGCCCAGGGCAGGAGATGCAAGAACCCGACCCCAGCTGCAGCGACCAAGCCTTTAACGGTGGCCGGCCCAGCACTAGGGAAACGCAAGATGAGAGGAGTGGGGGCCAGATGCCCAGGCCCCACTGTGCCCCTCAGCCGTGTGACCTGACCACTGCTGAGTAGCCTCCCTGCTCAGTCTCTGCTGGCCTGCGGAATGCTGCTCTGGCACGGACACCAGTGGGGGCAGGGGGCTAGCTGTGCTGGCAGGAGGCTGCAAAGGAACGCTGCCAGGCTGAGCAGGCGGCAGGGTGGGGACCGCAGGGCGCTGGCCTGGCAGGGCCCAGGTGGCGGCTGGGCCACCAGGGTGGAGAGGGGGGCTCTGTGGGCCTCTCGTGTGGCCCATGTCATCATTCAGGGGCCTTTCTGTGCCCTCGCCCCACCCCAAGCTGGCTGCTGCCCCGTTTGGGTCACTGTGATAGTGCCC